GAGAGAGACACAAACGCAAATAAGCAACGCGGAACTCATTCAGAAATAGAGATTTTTTTTTCTGAGTGTACTGAAGCACATTTCCCCCAAAGTTGTGAAAGATAAATGCCTTGAACAAGTAGTATGTATTATGATATCATCATCATCATCACCACCACCACCACTATCATTGCTTTTGCTATTATTTCATCTTAATGAACTCGTGATGTAATTTTTTAAAGAGATTTCAAGTGAAAGACTTCATCTACCAATGCAGATGACAACATTTCCTGCAATTTGTCTTATAGTTATCTGGGGGCAGTAATAGGTCAAATAAATTCCTCAAAGTCATGCATCCAGGATATGACAGAGGTGAGATTTGACTCCAAGACCTACTCTATCTCTACTATGCCACAATAACGCCTATGATTTTCTTAGTTATTACTAATGGTGCTTCCCAGAAAAGGGTACATATTTCTTCTTTGACCCTCACAACAACCTACATGTAGTTGATAAGGCATGCATCATTCTTCTCATTTAACTAATGAATAAAGTCAAGCTTTTGTAAAGCAACTTCGGGATTTCGCTATAATGCAGATACATAATGCTTTTGTTTGTTTGTTTGTTTCAGGCTATTACAGTGTGACCAGTAAATATAATGAACATAATATAATTGACAGACCAAATAACAAAATTAATATGTTTCTAATTAATTAATTAATTAATTTTGAGTTATCAACAATCACTTTCATAAACTTTTGAGTTTTAAATTTTACTGCCCTCCCTCCCCAACTCCCTACCTGAGACAGAGTGCAATCTGATATAGGCTATACATATACATTCCTATTAAACATATTATCACATTAGTCATGTTGTAAGGAAGAATTAGAACCAATTGGAGGAAGCACAAGAAAGAGAAAACAAAAAAAAAACACCAGAATAAGAAAAAAAAAGAAAGAAAAAGAAAAGAGCGAACTGTATGCACCAATCTGCATTCAAACTCTATAGTTCTTTCTATGGATGTGGATAGCATTTTCCATCATGAGACTTTTGGAGATGTCTTAGTTCCTTATATTGCTGAGAATGACTAAGTTTATCAGCTAGTCATTGCACAGCATGGCTGCTACTGTGCACAATGTTTCCCTAGTTCTGCTCACTTCACTCAACATCAGTCCATACAAATCTTTCCAGGTTTTTCTGAAGTCTGCTTGCTCATCATTTCTTACAGTACAATAGTATTCCATTACATCCATATACCACAACTTGCTCAGCCATTCCTAAATTAATGGACATCCCCTCAATTTCCAATTCTTGGCCATGACAAAAAGAGCTGCTACACATATTTTTGTACATGTGGGTTCTTTTCCCATTTGTTTGATCTCTTTGGGATATAGCCCTAGAAGTGCTATTGCTGGATCAAAGGGCATGCACATTTTTGTAGCCCTTTGGGCATAGTTCCAAATTGTTCTCTAAAATGGCTGGATCATTTCATAACTCCACCAACAATGTATTAGTGTTCCAATTTTCCCACATCTTCTACAACATTTGTCATTTTCCTGTTTTGTCATGTTGGCCAATCTAATAGGTGTGATGTGGTACCTCAGAGTTGTTTTGATTTGCCTTTCTCTAATCAATAGTGATTTAGAGCATTTTTTCATGTGATATATATAGATAGCTTTAATTTCTTCATCTGAAAACTGTCTATTCACATCCTTTGACCATTTATCAATGGAAGACTGATTTGTATTCTTATAAATTTGAAGTAGTTCTCTATGTATTTTAGAAATGAAGACCTTATCAGAGACACCAACTGCAAAAATTCTTTCCCAGTTTTCTGCTTCCCTCCTAATCTTGGTTGCATTGGCTTTGTTTGTGCAAAGACTATTCAATTTAACGTAATCAAAATTATCCATTTTTGATTTTGTTATGTTTTCTATCTCCCGTTTGGTCATTAATTCTCCCCTTATTCTTATATTGACAGATAAACTATTCCTTGCTCTCTCAGTTTGCTTATAGTATCAGCCTTTATATCTCAATTATGAACTCATTTTGACTTTATTTTGCTATATGGTGTAAGATTGTGGTCTATGCCTAGTTTTTGCCATACTCTTTTCCATTTTTAAAATTAGCATTTTTTTTCAGTAACTAGGAAATCTTGGAAATACATAAATAGCTGTATAAGTATTCTTGAAATTAATTATTACTGTATATATTTGCTTCTATGTGCATGCATTCTCTCTCCATATTTATCCATATCCATACACACACATAATATATATATATATAAATTCACTGAGCATGAGTTCATGCAAATCTTTCCAGGTTTTTCTGAAAGTTTCCTGCTCATCATTTCTTACAGAGTAATGGTATTTCATTATAATCATATACTACAACTTGTTCAGCCATTCCCCAATTGCTGGGCATCCACTCAATTTTCAGCTCTTTGCCATTGCAAAAAAGAACAATTATAAATATTTTTGTACCTCTAGGTAATTTTTTATCTCTTTGGATGCAGAACTAGTAGTGGTATTGCTGGGTCAAAAAGACATGCATAGATTTATAGCCCTTTGGGTGTCATTGGGCATAGCTCTCCAAAATTGTTGGATCAGTTCATAATTCCACCAAAAGTTTGTTAGTGACCCTATTTTCCCACATCCCCTTCAACATTATCATTTTTCTTTTCTGTTATAATAGCCAATCTGCTGGGTGTGAGATGTTACTTCAGAGTTGTTTTATTTTGCATTTATCTAATCAATAGTGATTTGGATCATTTTTCATGTGGTTATGGATAGCTTTGATTTCTTTATCTGAAAACTGTCTGCTCATATCCCTTAACTATTTATCAATTGGAGAATGACATATTATTATAAATGTGACTTAATTCCTTACATGTTTGAGAAATGAGATCTATATCAGAGACACTTGCTATAGAAATCCCACCCCCCCAGCTCTATTCTTTTTTTCTAATCTTGGTTGCATCGATTTTGTTCATGCAAGATCTTTTACATTTAAGGTAATAAAAATCACCAGTTTTATATCTTACAATGCCTGTAAATCATTTGATCATAAATTCTTCCCTTCTCCATAGATCTGACAGTTAACTAGTCCCTGCTCCTCTAATTTGCTTCTATCATGTACCCATTTTTACCTTATTTTCATATATGGTATGAAATGTTGGTCTATGCCTAGTTTCTCCCATATGGTTTTCCAGTTTTCTTTTATTTTTCAAATTGAGAGTTCTTGTCCCCAAAGTTTATATCTTTGTGTTTATCAAATACTATATTACAATGGTCAGTTACTATTGTATATTATGTACCTGATCTATTTCACTGATCCACCACAATATTTATTAGCCAGTACTAGATTGTGTTGATGATTACCACTTTATAATACAGATTGAGATCTGAAACAGTTAGGCCACCTTCTTTAACATTTTTTTCATCAATTTCCTTGAAATTTTTGACCTTTTGTTCTTTCAGATTATTTTTTTTTCTAGCTCTACAAAATAATTTTTGGTAGTTTGATTGGTATGGCACTAAATAAGTAAATTAATTTAGTTAGAACTGTCATTTTTATTATATTGTGGAATCCTCTCTGTCTCCCTCTCTTTCTCTCTCATCAGTGTTTAGTCGTGTTTTCCTGCACATTTTAATCAACAACTTGTATAAAGGTATAGATGGGATGTGAATTTGCAGATGACACAAACCTAAGTAGGTTGGCTAAAATTTTAGAAGATACAGTCAAATTACAAAAAAAAAAAGAGTCTTGACAGACTGGAACATCCAATTGGATAAAATGTAATTGAACTCAGATGAGCTTGAGGCTGTCATTGTTTTGTTTCTTACTTTCTCAGAGACCTTGAGGGAGTCATTTCACCTGCAAGGTTGCATCTCGTTTGAGAAAGAGAATACCTTTATTAGTTGAATACTAAGTTCCCCTCCAGCTCCAAATGTATGATCCTCTTACCCCAAGGACAAGAAGGTGGTACCAAAGTTTGGTATTATATCGACATGGGATACTAGGTGTAGTAGAACTTAAAAAAAAAGTTAAAATATTGCATGTGACTAGGGTTCACCATACATTGAATAAGCAGCAGACCTGTTAGTACACCTGCTTCTCCATTACTATGTTATTGGGTGAGACACAGTGAAAGCTTGGTGACAAAATCCTTAACTATTGTGTTTACCTTACTTGTAGCACTTAAATTTACAAATATTAAGGTATGAAGTAGTATAGAAATGCCATTTATTAAAGAAAATGAAAGAAAAATCACTTTGTGGGGACATTTTTTGGTAAGTTGAGAAAATAAATGTATTAATGGCAATGTAAATTTAGTGCATCATGTATGTGTCAAATAAGTTTGTTCTCTATACAGGACAAGATTGAAATATTTAATAACAATAGATATGTAACTAAATATACTTTTGAAAGACCACAACTTTGCTATATTACAGCACTGGCTATAAAGGAGTCTCAGGAAGGGCTCATTTGAGATGTTCTTTTTTTTTTTCTCTCCAAACATTAAAAATAAAAGAAAAACAAATGAACTAACTCTCTTGGGTGGAAATTCTTACAAAGTTTATCTCATATATATATTTTTCTGAAGCATATTAACAAACCATACTAGAAAAAATACATGGTTCACAGTCATCATCATGAAAACCAAATTAGTTTTCTGTGTCACTGAATTGTTGAGGTCCCTGGAGAGCTGTGTTCCAGATGTTTGACACTTTCATTTGTGGATTTAGGAAACTATCTCATACACACATACCTGAGAATTTTAATTACAAGCAAAAAGTAAAAACAGAACATGACACTTTACAAAATTTTGCAATGTTATATTAAATATGGAAATGGCTAAATTGATGGGCATCAATTATTTATTATGTAGGCAATGAAACTTTTAGATTATTGAGCTGTGCTTTGCTCTTCCCTCCTCCACTAAATGGCCCTAAATTTCAGGTTTTTTTTTTTTTGAGTCCTTGTGTTTGGGTTCTAAAGTTGTACTGTCTCTCTTTCAGCTTGATATCTATCAATTCTGGCTGTTGCTGCCCGAAGCAGGTTGGTACTTTCTCCATCTGTATTTTGAAGGCCTGAGATTAAATTACCTCTAATATCCTTTCAACTCTGAATCTACAATCTTATGATCCCCACATTTCTATTATGTGCTAGACACCCAAATTTCAAAGAATTGTAAATAATATAAAGCAAATGGGCCTACTTAGTAGCCTTTTGCTGTGTGTTTTATTTCCTAGTTTGAGGCTGCATTTTGGACAGATGAGGTTTTCGGATAGCTGACTTCTCAATGTTTGAAGCTTTTATATATTATTTCAAGCATTACCTTCCATTATTTTAATTAGACAGAAAGAGAGAGAGAGAGAGAGAGAGAGAGAGAGAGAGAGAGAGAGAGAGAAAAGAACATGTATTACAGACTTGTTATTTTGATATCATATTTAAAGATGGTTAAGTTGAGGTGCATTCAAGTTACTAGATAAAAACAGCTCAGAAATGTAGTTTTCTTTTTGAGGCTAATACTCCATAGAAGAAAGCATACTAATAAAGCATGCTTTCTAGGCATCCTGGGAATCATGGCCTGGAAGAACAGACAAAAAGAAGATCAAGAAATGCAGCCAAAGATACAAGGCAATGAATATCGATATCTTCTACCTTCTCCACATGAAGTGATTATTTTTGAATGATACTGGAGAATTTCCATCAGAGCTATGACTCTTGTCTTGGAAGATGTGTGTAATAGAATGAATATTATTATTCCAGAGAACCTCTAGGTTGTTTCATCTTATATTGGTAGATGCAGAAACGAACCTGCATATTGAAGGAATTATTTTAAAGTTACTGGGGCAAATATCACTTTTTAACATTAATTTTAGAATGATTTTTTTTCCATTTCTAACATTCTATTTTTTGTTAAATAAGTACTCTATGATCTAGAAGAAACCAATGTAGAGATAACATTATACACTCCACTAAATTGAAAAGTTTCCTCTCGTACATTACAGATTGAAAAAATATAGACCAGATTCTTACAGCCCCTTTTGCCTAGATGTCTTTTGCATAAATGAAACTTTATTTTTGACATAAAAATGGAAGAAACTGATTCATTAAAAGTGCAGTTATGGAAGAGTATATGATGATGTAAATTAATTTTCTACCCCTCAATGCATTGGAACTTTAAAACAGTCATTATGCCCTTTTTATGTTCTTGTGTAATTCAGTAAAAAATAATGGCAACACTTTATCTCAAGCAGTTAGAGAAGAATACATTTAAAAATGCATTTTATTGAACTTTTAACAGAAAATACAGGGATGCAATGATATTCATAACAACATCATCATAAATAATGGCTACCATAAACTTCAGTTAAGAAGGTTTATTTTTTTTTCTTTTTTATGGCAAATAATATTTAAAGACAAATAGCCATCTCTCCCAGACTAAGCTAATCATTTGAAAGCCATTAAACCGATATTGTCCTCTCCTTATTGATAGTAGTTGGCAAGTGGAATATCTGCCTTTAAGTAACAGAACTAAATGGCTGACAAGTAATCCACAATGCAAATTTTGCATTTGAGAAACAGAGCTGTTTGTGATTCCTTAAACCTGTTTTTGTTTGTTTGCTTCCTTCTTGTAACATAGTCTTAAGGCTGATTATGGCATAGATGTGCTTTTTTCTTTTTTTTTTTTTGAGACTGGTCTTTCTATATCACCCTATTCTTGAAGTACAGAAGCCACTCATGGACCATTTCCAATAATAATTAGCATAAAACCTTTGGACTGCTCTTTTTTTTTCTGGCTTGGGTCAGTTTACCCCTCCTTAACAGCCTGGTGGGCTTCATCCATCTTTCCATGAGCTCACTATGTTGGTGTCAGATTTAATGCAGACAATGATTGGCATTAGCTCCAGTGAAGCTCAGAATTCTTGAATTTAAGTAATCTACTACCTTTAGTCTTCTCAGAAACAGGGATTAGAGGGGTGTGTCACCAGACCAAGCTGATCCTAGGTTTTGCAAGACCAAGTGGACAGGTCCTGTGAAGCTAAAAATCTTTGAGAATGGGGCTAGAAACATGTTCATATCCCAGAATAAGCCTAGAGAAGTGAAAGGAGGCATATCTCCAGTAAATTGACAAGAAGGAAGTGATTTATTTTGGCCACAGAAATTCATGAAATATTTTTATATAGCCATGGGTAAGGTTGTGGTTAGTATTGGAGTAGAGAATGTCAACATTTAATTACAACTTGGATTTAAAAAAAAGATTTTGAAATCAGCCATTGTCTAAGTATGTGAAAATAAATCAGAGGACTGAGAAGATTATTAAGAGGTGAGGGGTCTCTTCATTGTGTTATTCTTCCTTATTTCATGGGACATATGCCATATTTACCATGAGTCTTTATGGATACAGTGCTAGACATTTAGTTATGGAGCTCTTGGTTCAAATTCTACATCTGACAGAATAGTCGTGTAGCCATGAAGGGAAGGAGAAGAGAATAAACATTTATTAAACATGCCAAGTACTGTGCTAAATGCTTTATTATCTCATCTGATCCTCACAATAATTCTATAAGTTCTATTATTATCCTCATTTTGCAATTGAGGAAACTGAGTTGGGCAAAGATTAAATGATTTGCCCAGGGTTACAAAACTAGTAAATGTATGAAGCTGTATTTGAATTCAGGCCTTTCTAACTCCAGGCCCAGCGCTTTGTCTACTGGGGCACTTATCTGACTCACTAAACATCAGATTCTTTATATGTAAAATATGTCCAACATTTGCTTCATTAGATCATGGTGGCATTCAATAGAATAGGTGTAAATAGGTTCCCAAATGTTAAAGTACTATATAGATGCCATTTATTCCTCTTTTGGAGAGAAAGTATATTGTAGCTGTGAATTATCTAGCTAAATGTCTGAATTTGTCATTGCACTTCACCTATAGGGAATGTCTCAGTATGAATTAATGCAACCAGAGCATTCTGAGAAAGGTACAGGAATGCTGAAGTTCATGAAAACTCTTCATTTGGTTGTAGGAATATCAGCATTTTGTTTTGTCTTATTATTTTGGATTTGGATTTTTCGGATTCCTCAAGGCTTTATGTAGAAAAATGATTTCTATTCATTATACTTTTGTTTTAAATTTTTACTGAGATATGTCATGCCCCCCCCCCCAAATCCCCAACCCTTATTTGGATTCAGGTTTTGTCTGAAGAGATTCTACTATCTATCTTATGAAACTTCATTCTTGTCAGCTTGGTATCTGAGGAAGAATCATTGATTTTCAGATTAGTACCTGTTAATTTCAAGTTGGAACATTGGTAGAACACATGCCATTTTCAAAGAATTTAATAGCTTAAACTTACGCTAAGGCTTTTGGTACACACTTTATCGCGAACATGCTAGAACAGTGTTTCTTCAACCAGCGTCTGTGACCTTGTTTTTAATTTTTATTTCTTATCTCTTGATTACTATTCCAATATAATTCTTTTCCATTTCAACCCTTTGTGTTTTATTTTATGTATTTATAAACCTTATTCTGAGATGGGTCTACATATTTATTTCTTCAGGTTGCCAAAGAAGTTCATCACATATAAAGTGTTAAGAATCCCAGCAGTAGGGGGTTGAAGGGTAGGAGGCTGACTAAAATATATCTGCCTACTGCATTTGAGAGGGAGAGGTAACAGAAATATTGTCTAGAAAATATCTAGAAGAGCACTGTTTTCCTTTCTAAACAAAGTTACAAGTTATTTGTAGAGGTCAACTGAACAACGTGTAGTTAAATGGGAAAAAAATGGTTCTGCCAAAAAAGGCAGTAAAGTCTGACTTTATCTCTCATTTTTCATAGTTTAAAAATCATCACTGAAAGACTTATTTTCTTAAATTAAAATTCCTATTATTCCTGCCTCTACCAAAAGTTTTCTTTGTGGAAAGGGAGAGGAGCAATGGAGGTCAGCTAGTGTACAGGCACAAAGGTGGAAGATATGTGAAGAACATCAGGAAAGCGAGTTTGGATGAACCACAGTATGCGTAGATGGGAGTTATATACAATAAGACTAGACATGAAGATTTGACTCAGGTTGTGAAGGGCTTGGAATGAAAAATAAAAGCGTATATAGTCGATCATGGAGATACTATGGAGCCAATTTAATTTCTTGAGGATGGGGTTGATTTGGTCAAATAAACCTTTTCCCTGGCCCTAGAAAGATTTCATCTAAATATCCCCAAAAGTTTTTTTGGGGGCCTAATTTAACATATCTTAAAAAGAGTTTTCTTTAACATCCTAAATAATAAGCTCTGATGTTACAAGAATTCTTATAGTCACTAATTTTCTCTTTTTTTTCACATATTATTTTTGTACATGGTATTTCCAACCACCTTCTGATTCTCCTCAATAATATAAATGGATTAAGACATTTGACTGTGAATATCTACAGAGAGGGAAATGATTATTAATGAAGTTGAATGGGAAAGTTTTACTGACATAATATTTAAAAACAGGATAAAAAACAAAATCGCAAAAAATTGGTGTAACATAAATCAAAAGAAAAAAATAAGGTTTGATCATTTTCAAATCATAACAAGACTTGCATAGATAGCTATGTAGCTGAAAATATAAAGTCAGTTTCTCCATCTTTTCTGTTTCTGAATTTCTTGACAAATATAAATTTATGTGCAGAAGCTATTAACCTCTACTCTCCATAAAGGATAATCAGTTAAGTAAGTAGCAAAGGTTCGGGCTGAGAGAGAGGACACATACCTTACCGTTTCTCTGAGAGTTGCAATATATAAAATAGACTTTTATAGCCCTGGATGGTAGCATCCTTTAATGCTGGACATATCTCGTTCTTTATGCTCATTAAAAGTAATTGAGTTGACTGCTCATTATACTGTTTAATCTGTTCTCTTATTTCTGATCTATATTAAGACAGCTGAAGCAGTTCAGCCAAAATGAGAGACCTGCCAAGTCTTCATATATCTTTTATACCTGAGCTCTAAAATCTAAATGTTTTCTGTGATTCAAAATGGGTGGAGCGTTGCCATTCAGTGTCCAGC